CTCCGCCTCCTCCGCCTTCGCCTCCTCCGTCTCCTCCGCCTCCTCCGCCCCCTCCGCCTCCGCCTCCTCTGCCTCCTCCGCCTCCTCCGCCTCCTCCTCCTCTTCCTCCTCCTCTTTTTCTTAGTATTAGTATGATCCGTCTTCGTCTTAATATTATTAGTATTCGTCGGCGTCGTATTAGTCGTCTTCTTAGTCTTCTTCGTGTTCGTTTTCTTCGTGTTATGCTTCTTAGTAGTCGTATTGTTAATATTGTTATTCTTAGTAGTCTTAGTAATATTATTATTACTCTTATTAGTATTATTGATACTACTACTAGTACGAGTATTATTAGTAGTACTCGTATTATTACTCTTATTCTTAATAGTAGTAGCAGCCTTAACATGAATCTTAATATTCGTATTATTACTAGTATTCGTATTAGTATTAGTATTAGTATTATTATTCGTAGAATTCTTATTATTGTTCGTCTTAGTATTAGTATGCGTATTCGTCTTCTTCGTACTCTTCTTAGTATTATTAGTATTAGTATTATTAGTATTAGTAGTATTCCTCTTAGTCATCGTCTTTCTCTTCCTCCTCCTCCCGCCTCCTCCGCCTCCTCCTCCTCCCCCTCTTCCTCTTCCTCCTCCTCCTTCTCCTCCTCCTCTTTCTCTTTCTCTGTATCCTCCTCATCCGCCTCCACCCCACTACCTCCACCTCCTCCTCTCCCCCGCCTCCTCCTCCTCCTACTCGCATCCGCCTCCCTCCTCGTCCTCCTCCTCCTCCTCCTCCTCCGCCTCCTTCTCTCCTCTCCTCTTCCTCCTGCCCTCCTTCCTCCCTCCTCCTCCTCTCCTCCTCCCTCCTCCGCCTCCTCCTCCTCCTCCGCCTCCTCCTCCTCCTCCGCCTCCTCCTCCTCCTTGATTTTACTACGGTTTTAGCCACTCTACTGGGAGGGGCACTGATTCAGATAGCTCCAAGAACACCTGGGAGAGCCCAGGATGACCTCCAAGACGGCTCAAGATTTCCCAAGATGCCTAAAGATGGCTCCCAAGATGCTCAAAGAGGCCACAAGACCGCTCCAAGACGGCTCCAGGTGCCCAAAGAGCTCCCCCAGGAGGCCCCGAGGGGGACAAGATCCTTCCGAAACCTGGGAAGTCCATGGTTTTGGCTGTCTCGCCTTTTTGCTTCCGATGGCCATTCGAGGCCTTCCAAGATGGGCCAAGAGGGTCCAAGAGAGGCTCAAGGGAGCCCCAGGACGGCCCCAAGAGCGCCCAAGAGCACTCGCCCCAAGAGCGCCCCAAGAGGCGACTGTTAGGGCTCCCGAGGGGCAACGCCAATTAATGCTCCTCTCTTGCTTGATCGATGTCCTCCAAGATGGCCCCAAGAGCGCTCCCAAGGATCCCAAGAGCGCCTCAAGAAGGCCCCAAGAGGCGCCCAGGAGGCCCCCAAAGGCCCAAGAGGCCTCCAAGAGGCTCCCAAGAGACCTCCCAAAGGCCTCAAGAGGCTCCCCGAGACGCTCCAAGAGGCCCCCGGGACCGCCAAGAGGCCCCCAAGACGCAAGAGAGGCCCAAGAGAACCCCAAGACGGTCCCAAGAGCGCCCAAGAGTGTCCCAAAAACGCTCCACGAGGGACACTTCATCTGCGTGCTGTCCACTTTCCTGATCGAGGCAAATCCTCTGGGCATCGTCTCTGGATGCGCTGGTGGGGTTACGCGAAGCGTCTAGACTTGCGCTGCATCCGCGCTCCCAGGGCCTTGATCCCTTGTGAATTACACGGCATCCGCGCTCCCATCGCCAGGATCCCTCGTGAACTACACTGTGTTCGCGCTCCAAGGGCCAGCATCCCTTGTAAATTGCACTGTGTCCGCCCCCACAGGGTCACGACCCTATGTAAATTACGATGCGTCCGCGCTTACAGGGCCAGGATCCTTTGTAAATGACGCGGCGTCCACGCTCCCATGGCCACGAGCCCTGGAAAATCACGGTGATCGCCAGTGGCGCCGACCCCTCCAAGATTCGGCGCCGCCATCGTCGGCGCAAGAGTCGGCATAATGAAGCTGCACGTATTTCCATTGAGGCACTGAGTCGAACCCTGGTTGGCTCCGTCGGTGTTTCCATCGAAAACCATGGAGCCTGAATCTGTAGTCCCCGAACAGTCTGCGCATGCAACCGATACGTATGTGTTGCCACCATCTGTGGAATACAGCATGCTGCCTGCCCAGGCATCCGTTGTTGGATTGCGCATCTGCAGCGCCAGGATCGCGCTGGAAAAACACTTCGAGAGCACTGTTGCACCTTGGGCAAAGACACCGGAGGCCTCTTGCACAAGTCCACTGCCCACGTCCACGCTCACGTCCACGCTGCCTTGATTGTTGGACGCAGTGCCAGTGACAATCTGCAGACAATAAAGCGGCGCAAAGGGGCTGGGCGTTGGGCTCGGCGTAGGACTGGGCGTCGGACTGGGCGTCGCCTTGTTTGTTAAGCCTACTGGCCAGAGCCGCAGGCTGCCCTCCCCCCGCTGCAGAAATCCTCGGGCAGAGAGGCCAGCGGAAAAAGGCGCAGGCGTGCACGAACACATGGAGTGTACAGATGGTCCGACACAATTTGGTGACCTCGGGCCTGGTCGGTGCCTACGGAGCAACCGACGGAAATCGCCGTTCTAGGTCGGTCGTGCGCGGCGCCATCCGGAGGCGCCCAGGCCTCTCGAGTTCTGCAAGCCAAGCGCTTCGCCCGAGACATCCTCGGGAGCACTGCGCGCAGGAGCCGAGGCCAGCCCAGGCCAGCCCGGGCCGCGAGGTGCAAGCCAGGCAGGCCCAAGCCGAGATTGTATCTCCCAGAAGTCCCTCTCCGTCCAGGCCGGATTGTCTTCCCGAATCGAGGCCTTCGGGGGGCCCGCGGCTGGACATAGCTCGAAACATGATCGACCCACGAACCCGGAAAGGGATCTATATATATATATATATAGAACTGTGAATCATGGAGAGTCTTCGAGACACTAAACAATTGCAAAACTCAAGGTAACGCGGGTGATGTACCGTGCCAGGGGATGCGTTGTGCTGTGCTGTGATGAATTGAAATGTGCCATGCCGCGTTGACATGTGCTGTGCTCTATTGCGTTGCGGATGAGGTAGTTTTTGGCATCGGAACCCTGACGAAATGATCTGGATCTTAATTTCGAGCTGCCTGGACGCATATCTCGAGCTGGTCGCAATCGCACCGAGCGGGGCGCTCGACCAGCTCGAGCTCGACATCTGTTTCAGCTCCGTAGCGGGACGCGCTAAGAGGGGGCGACTCCGAGCCGACGCGAAACGCACCGAGGGTGGACGGACCGAAGCTCGGCGAACCCAAACGCCACGAACTGCATCAAGACGAACCGACACGATACGAACCGAGACGAAGGCCGAACCGACCCGAACCGAAGCGAGACGAGACAAACCAAGACGAGTAGGCTTCTGAAACTGCATGGCGCCGCCTGACGAGGGAACCGCACTCCGAGGTGCCACGGCCCCTCGCAAATGACCAGGGCCGCGACTTGGCGTACAGTGTTATTGATGCGTGCTGTGCTGCACTGTGCTGCGTGGTGCTGTGTTGAACTGTGTTGTTCTCTGTCGCTATGCGGATCAAGCCATCCTTGGCACCCCAATCCTGTCCGAACTGATCTGGAGCTCAAGCTCAGGCTGTCTGCGCGCATGGCTCGCCCAAAGCTGGCTGCAGTCGTGACATGCGGAGCGTTCAACCACATCGAACCCAGGATCTGATTCAGTTCGGAACGTGACGAACCGATCGGGGGGCGAATCCGAACCGAAACGAAACGCACCCAAACGACAACAAGGCCCCCGCACGCCACCTCCTCAACCAATGCAAAACCAGCGTTTCGCGAGATGCATCAACAACACATCCTGCAGAGGGAGACGTTCGTTGCAGGCGAGGCCCTCGCTCGAGGCATACTCACCAAATCCTGCAGACCGAGCGTTTCGCTCTAGACGTCCCCAACACAGTCCCATGTTAGTGATTCGCCTGGGCCACCTGGACACGTAACAAAGAAACGTTAGTTCGAGACATCCTCAGCAAATCCTCATGCTAGAGATCCGCCTGGGCGACCTGGAGCAAGCGTGAAAACAAATGGGTCCCTTTTCGCCCCAAAGCGGAACATATGAAAACACGTGGGTCCCTTTCGCGCGCCGAAAACCTGTCAGACACAGGCAACCTCCGAGTTGCCGAACACCGACAGCGCGCCAACAAAACCTCAGGACACCCAGAACCAAGGAGGCGCCCAAACCTAAAAGACCACCGAAAACAAAAAGGGCACCCAACGCCACGAGAACACCAACATGATCGACCCACGAAACCGGAAAGGGACATAGAAATGTGAAGCATGGCAACGTGTTCAAGGCACCTGATTTTGCCACGGGCAATTGCAATGCTGAATAGATTGTTCTTGACGTGCCGTGACAAAAGCTGTGCTGTGCTGTGCCGTGCTGAAATGCGATGTGCCATGCCGCGATTGTGCTCTATAGCGTTGTGGATCGAGTCCTCCTCAGCTTCGAGTCCTGACCGAACTGATCTGGATCTTGAGTTCAACCTGCCTGAGCACATCATAGCCGCCCCAGGGCTAGTTGAAGTGGAAACGTGGAGGACATTCAATCAAATCGACCTCAAAATCCAACTCAGCTCCGACAAGGAGCGGCACGACACGGGGCACAGGCTCACGGACGCGCCGCAGGATGTGCCAGGGGCGCAATAGAGGATGCGCCAGGGGACGTCTTAGGGGACGCATCAGGGGACGTGCCCTGAACGTGTCAGGGACCTACCACGGAACGTGCAAAAACGCGTGCCATGGGGCAGCCAGAAGACGTCATGTCAAGGGACGTTGCAAGGGGCCCGCCACGGAACGGGGACAGGGGAAACGCCTCAGGACGAGCCAGGAAACGCGACAGAGGACGAGCCAGGGAACGTGCCACGCCGAGTGGCGTGCTAGGGGACGTGCCAGGGCACGTCACGCCAGAACGTCGCAAGGGACGCACCAGGGGTCGCGCCAGGGCGCCAGGGGACGCCCCACGGACGGGCGGGGGATAGAGCTGCGACGCACTCTACTGCGACAAACGTTTCGCTCGAGACATCCTCATCCAATCCTCATGGTAGACATCCGCCTAAGCGATCTGGACACGCGAAACAAAGTGTCTCATTCGCGAGGTTCTCAACACCCCCTCATGATAGACGTCTAGACGTCTGCCTGAGCGACCTGCACACGTGAAAACAAGCGTTTCGCACAACACATCCTCAACACAACCTCATGCCAGACATCGGCCTGGGCGACCTGTGAAAAAAACGCCTACCAAGAAACATCCTGAACAAATCTTCGTGTTAGACATCTGCCTGGGCGACATGAACACGTGAAACCAAGCGTTTCGCTCAACACATCCTCAACAAATCCTCATGCTAGACATTCGCATGGGCGACCTGGACACGTGAAAACAAGCGTTTCGCTCAACACATCCTCATGCTAGACATCCGCCTTGGCGACCTGGGCACGCGAAAGCAAGCGTCTCGCTCGAGACATCCTCAACACATCTTCACTTTAGACATCCGCCTGGGCGACCTGTGCACACGTGAAAAAAAGCGCCTCCCCCGAGACATCCTGAACAAATCTGTATGTTAGACATCTGCCTGGGCGACCTGGACACGTGAAACCAGGCGTTTCGCTCAACACATCGGGCAGACCGGGACACGAAAAAACAAGCGCCTCTCTCGAGACCTCCTCAACAAATCCTGATGCCAAACATCTGCCTGCGCGACCTGGACACGTGAAAACAAGCGTCTCGCTCGAGACATCCTCAACAAATCCTGATGCTAGACATCTGCCTGGACAACCTGGAGGCGTGAAAACAAGCGTCTCGCTCGAGCCATCCTCAAGACCTGGGCACGTGAAAACAAACATTTCACCTTGGAAGTCCTCTGAATTCTTGGCCCCAGGAGAAAAACGATCTATAGCAAGAAACAAGCGTTTCGCTAAGGACATCCTCAACCGATGAATTCGCCGGGCCTGCGCGAGTCGAGGCCCAGGGGGAACTATCCAAAAGAGAACCCTGGGCCGATGCCCTCTCTGGGAAAAACACAGGGTGAGAGCATTTCTTCAACCAAACTGTGTCCCGCACCCTGTGATTTATCGAGCGGGATTTCAAAAACAAGCGTTTCGCTAGGGCTGCACGACCGAGTTATTTGTCGCTGATTAAATTCGCCGGCCCTACGCAAGACGAGGCCAGGGGGAACATCTAAAAGAGAACCCTGGGCTTCAAATTCCGAGCTTTCGGTCCCGGAGGCTCCCAGGAGGCCCCAAGAGGCCCCCAGGAGGCCCCCAGAAGCCCCCAGGAGGCCCCCAGGAGGTCCCCAAGAGACCCCCAGAGGTCTGGACCCGTTTCCAGAGGATCGGCTCTTCGCAGTCCTTCCTGACGGCCCCCAGGCCCAGTGAGGCCGGGCGAGGGCCCCCTCGGGAGGCAGACCACACCCGCTGAGATGACCGCATCGCGTTTTCCTGCGGCCCCGACGCGAGGAGCCGGGGGGGGGTCACGCCAGGAGGACGCGCCGCGGAACGTCCCAGAGGGCGCGCCAGAGGGCGTGCCAAAGGGAGGACGCACCGCGGGACGTGCCAGGGGGACGCGCTACGGAAGAGTGCCAGTGGACGTGCCACGGCACGTGCCAGGGGACGCGCCGTGCGACGTACCAGGGGGACTCGTCACGGACGCGCCACGGAACGTGCCAGAGAACGTGCCAGGCGACGCGCCGGGGGACGTGCCAAGGAACGCGCCAGGGAACGTGCCACGGGACGTCCGTGACCCAAGGCCAGGATCCCTCGTAAACTACGCGGCATCCGCGCTCCCAGGGCCACGATCCATCGTAAACTGCGCTGCGTCAGCGCCCCCAGGACCACGATCCCGCGTCAATGTTGCTGCGCCCGCTCTCCCTGCGCCCGCTCATCCCTGGCAAAACTACGCTGCGCCCGCGCTCCCTGGGCCGCGCCCCCTGGTGAGCTAGGCAGTGTTCGCTCTCCCCTGGCCAAGATCGCTCGAAAATCGCGCTGGGTCCGCGCCTCCAGGGCCACGATCCCTCGTCAATTATGCTGCGTCCGCGCTCCCAGGGCCACGATCCCTCGCCAACTACGCTGCGTTCGCGCTCCCAGGGCCAAGCTCCCTTGTGAATCGCGCTGCGTGCGCGCCCCCAGGAGCAGGGCCCCTAATAAATTATGCTGCGTCCGCCCCTCCAGGGCCAGCATCTATCCTAAATCGCACTGCGTCCGCGCTTCCTGGGCCACGGTCCATCGTAAATTACGCTGCGCCCGTGCCAGCCCCGGCCACGATCCCTTGTAAATGGTGCTGCGTCCGCTCTCCCTGCACCGCGATCCCTCGTAGACCGCGCTGCGTCCGCGCTCCCAGGGCCGCGCCCCCTCGTGAATTGCGCAGTGCCCGCGCTCCCTTGGCCACGATCCCTCGTGAATTACGCTGGGTTCGCGACTCCAGGGCCAAGGCTTCTCGTCAAGTATGCGGCGTCCGCGCTCCCAGGGCCAGGATCGCTGCAAAAGAAGCATTTCGCCAGAGGCATCCGCAGAACTTCGGCACGCAGGGTACGCTATCCTCGAGCGGACACGCAAAGAGCAAACCTTCCTTCTGAAAAATAAGCGCCGGGCTCGAGACATCCTCGAAATTCCTGGGCGCGGAACGCGCCATCCTCGAGCGGGCAAGCAACAACATAACTGTTCCATATGTTTTGTAAACTTCTGCGGTCTTCAAACCTCGTGTCTTATCGCGGATTTAACGCAAACCGCTTCGCACACAATTTTTACAACGGAATACGGGTGTCTGCGGACCCGTCAATTATAGAGGATCCGAGGTCGGGGGTTCATTTTCCTCGAGCGGGCACGCGCGAAACGAATTTCATCCAAAAGAAGTCAGCCTTTACCTAGTTATGTATCGGAGATAATTCCGCTCCTCGAAATTCCTGCGCGCGGGACGCGCCATCCTCGAGCGGGCACGCAAAACATCAATTGCTCAATATTCTGGGTAGGGTCTCCATACCTTGCGTTTTCATAATGGCTTCTGCACGAAAAGCTCCGCGCCCCTTTTTTAGAAAGGGAAACGGGTGTCTGCGGACCCTGCTATTTATAAATGATCCAAAATAGGGGGCGCAGTTTTCTCGAGCGAGCACGCGCGAAACGCAGTTTTTGAAAACAACAGCTCGGGACAACCATGCAAGATACCCCCCTGGGCGTGCTGAACATGTAAAAGCACGTGGTCCCAGCTCGGGACAACCATGTTAGATACCCCCTGAGCGGGCAAGTGCACAAGCGCCAGACGCATATTAGATACCCCCTTCGCACATGCATTTTTTACGCGCGAAAAAACCTGAGACCTCATGTTAGATATCCCCATGGGTGCACCTTCCTCGAGCGGGCACGCACGGAATGCACTTCTGATACTTCTGGGACCAGAAAGGGTCCCGCACCCTGTGATTTATCGTTCGAGATTTCAAAAACAAGCGTTTCGCCTGAGACATTCTCAAATTTGAGTCCGCCGGCCCTTTGCGAATTCGTTATTTATCCAGGAAAGAATCCGCCAGCCCTCTTCGAACTTGGCACTGGGAGCAAATTTCCACACTACATGATCGACCCACAAGCCCGGGAAGGGAGATAGAAGTGTGAAGCAAGGCGACGGGCAATTGCAATGATAACAGCATCGATCTTGATGTACCGTGCCAAGGGCTATGCTGTGCTGTGCCGTGCTGAACTGCGATGTGCCATGCCGCGATTGTGCTGTATAGCGTTGTGGATCGAGTCCTCCTCAGCATATGAGTCCTGACCGAACTGATCTGGATCTTGAGTTCGAGCTGCCTGAGCACATCATAGCCGCCCCAGAGCTAGTTGGAGTGGAAACGTGGAGGACGTTTAATCAACTCGACCTCAAAATCCGCATCAGCTCCGAAAAGGGACGACACGACACGGGGCACAGGCTCACGGGCGCGCCACAGGATGTGCCAGGGGCGCAATAGGGGATGCGCCAGGGGACGTACCAGGGGACGCATCAGGGGACGTGCCCTGAACGTGTCAGGGACCTACCACGGAACGTGCCAAAACGCGTGCCATGGGGCGGCCAGAGGACGTCCTGCCAAGGGACGTTGCAAGGGGCCCGCCACGGAACGGGGACAGGGGAAACGCCTCAGGACGAGCAAGAAAACGCGACAGAGGACGAGCCAGGGAACGTGCCACGCCGAGTGGCGTGCTAGGGGACGTGCCAGGGCACGTCACGCCAGAACCTCGCAAAGGACGCACCAGGGGGCGCGCCAGGGCGCCAGGGGACGCCCCACGGACGGGCGGGACTGGACTGCAACGCGCTCTACTGCGACACGCGTTTCGCTCGAGACATCCTCACCACATCCTCAAGTTAGACATCCGCCTGGGCGATCTGGACACGTGAAACCAAGCGTCTCGCCCGAGACCTTCTCAACACATCCTCATGTTAGACATCTGCCTGAGCGATCTGGACACGTGAAAACAAGCGTTTCGCTAGAGACATCGCCCACATCCTCATATTGGACATCCGCCTGGGCGACCTGGACACGTGAAACCAAGCTGTTCGCTCGACACATCCTCAACACATCCCCATGCTAGACATCTGCCTGGGCGACATGGACACGTGAAAACAAACGTCTCTCGAGAAACATCCTAAACACATCCTCATGTCAGACATCCGCCTGGGCGACCAAGACACGTGGAACCAAACGTTTCGCTCAAGACATCCTCAACACATCTTCATGCTAGATATCCGCCTCGGCAACCTGAGCACGTGAAAACAAGTGTCTCGCTCAACCCGTCCTCATGCTAGACATCCGCCTGGGCGACCTGGACACGTGACAGCAAGCGCCTCGCCCGAGACATCCTCAAATCATCTTCACGTTAGACATCCGCCTGAGCGACCTGGGCATGTGAAAAGAAGCGTTTCGCTCGAGACCTTCTCGACACATCCTCATGTTAGACATCCACCTGGGCGACCTGGACATGTGAAAACAAGCGTCTCTCTCTCTCGAGCCATCCTCAACAATTGCTCATGTTAGACATCCGCCTGGGCGATCTGGACACGTGAAACCAAGCGCTCCGCTCAACACATCCTCAACACATCTTCATGCTAGAGATCCGCCGGGGCAACCTGGACACGCGAAAACAAGCGTCTCTCTCTCGAGACATCCTCAACAAATCCTGAGGCGAGACATCTGCCTAGTCGACCTGGACGCGTGCAAGCAACCGTCTCGCTCGAGACATCCTCCCACACCTGCGTGCCCTCGCATTTCTGCATGCGTACGCGGCATTCCTGGCGCGTCGACGGTCGACTTACGCGCGCGAACAGCGCGCTTGGCAATGCACGCGATGAGCGCGCTCGACCGACGCACGCGCGACGGCAACAATTCCCCTGGCCCGGCGACACCCGCCGCACTGGCGCGGGCTGGGAGGGGCTGCGCGAGCGCGACTCGCGCCCACAGGGGCGCCGAATGCCACGCCCATCCTCGGTGCGGCCTGTCGCTGGCGCGGGCGTCGCAGGTGCGTGCGGCGTCGGCGCGCGCACAGCTTGTTGACACCGCGTCGGTCGTTCAACCTTGAACCGATCGCGGCCCCGATCGTTCAAGGTTGCATTCCGTCGGGTCCTGTGGCGTTACCCTGCCCCTCGGTGCGTCCGCGTCGTTTCAGATGGTCCTCAACCTTGAACGCCTATGCCGGCGTCGCTGGCGCGCCACCGCCGCCAGCGGGGGGTCGCTGGCGGCGGTCAGCACACCCAACAGGTCTAGAGAATAGCATGAGAAGCACGAGGCCGCTCTTCGCCGCCGCTCGCCGCACGCCGCCCCCACGCCCCTCTCTGCCGCACGGAGGGCGGCGAGGAGGAGAGAGGGAGGGGGAGAGGGGGAGGGAGAGAAAGAGAGGGAGGGGGGGAAGCACATAATGAAAAGATTGCGGGCACCGGCGTGGGCGCTGGTGTTGGCGCGGGGGTCTGTGCCTTTTCACAGTATACTGCGCCGTAATACCCTGTGGATGGATATAGAATGGGGGCACCGCAGTCCGCGATCAAAAAGCATCTTGTCTCCCAAGTACTCAAACATGGACCGTTGCAATAAGCGCCATACTTTGCAAAGTACGTGCATGTGTTGTCTGCGTCGCACAACGCCCTGCACTCGCCAACTCCAGCTGTACCAGCACTGACTGCATGCTCAACTGTTGGCGGTGAGCCAGACCCAGGACTATAGTTCTGGCAATAATAATAGCCAGTGGTATCGTCGTCACCTGGATATCCTTGAAGATTGTAACCTTCACCACAAGCATCGTACGCCGATGTTGGTGCCGGCGTGGGGGCCTTCCGGTGGCACCCACCCCACCGCCGCAGCATGCATCAGGGCGGGGGTAAGGGGGACAGCGGAGGGGCCTGAGGGAATTGGCTTCCAGGTGGTTTCCAGCATCATCGTAACGCAGAAAACCTTGGTGGATGCTGAAAGCTCACTCACGCTGCCCGAAATCGTTCCAAGTGAACCCCATACTTTGCAAGCCCTGGGCCCAAGCCCTGGGCCTGGGTCTTACGGCCCAGGGCATACGAGGGACCCGTTGGGCTTGCTCGTTTCGAGGCTCCTCTGGGAGCTCTGTGTGGGACGTTTGACGTCTTGGGCCGTTCTGGGGGCCTGCTGGGTTGCCTCAGTCCTCCTCTTGGCAGTCGTGGTGCTCTCTGGGGCCTCTGCGCCCACGATGCGCCCACGACCGCCCACCAGGCGAAACCATGCGACACCCGCCCAGCGCACGGGGCGCCCACGATGCGCCCACGACCGCCCACCAGGCGAAACCTAGCGGCACCCGCCCAGGCGCACGGGAGCGCCCACGAGTCGCCCACGGCCGCCCAATACCTTGCCACACCGCTCCAATGCCTCAGGCAACCGCAGTGATAACCAGGTGACGAGCCAGGCCAGGGAACGTGCCGCGGGGAGCGCCAGTGGACGTGCCAGGGAACGCGGCAGCGAACGTGCCGAAGGGCACGCCAAGGAACGCGTCAAGGAACGGGCTGTGGGATGAGCTACGGGACATGTCGGTGTCAAAAGGGGGGGGCGCGCCGCAACATGCCGCAACCGTGCCAGGGGACGCGGCCCCTCGCAGACCCTTCCTGGGGCGAAGCACGCAAAAGGGCAGCAGAGAGCCCCAAGACGACCAAACGACCCAAGCAAGCCTCCAAAGGCGCCCAAGGCGGTCCAAGCAAGCAAGCGGCCCAACGGTCCAGATCGCTCCAAGACGGCCCACGATTGCCTCAAGACGGCCTCAGAGGCCATCGGGGCGTCCAAGAGGCCTCCAAAAGGGCCCTCATGAGGGCCCCGTGAAGCCAAAATCATTGATAGTCCTTTGGTGCTTGACGGATTTCAGCATTCTCGCCGTTTCGGGATGGCGACGCTCCAAGACGGCCCACGAGGGCTGCAAGATCGCCCAAAGACAGCCCAAGAGGCCCCCAAGAGGGCCCCCAGACGGCCCAAGAGGGGCCCAAGACTGCCCAAGAGGCCCCCCAAAACGGTCCAAGACGGACCCAAGAGGGCCCCAGTCGGGTCCCAAAAGGAGGAGCTCGACACGCCATTTCGCGCTCTCCGGCCCAGGGTGACACTCGAGACCGCCATCAGGCCCACAAGGGCCCCCCCAAAGGCGGGATCTGGATCACATCCAGGTCCGAGACAGGATGAACCGACATGGGGGCGCAGGGAGCATGCACGCGCCCAGGGATCTGCCAGGGGCGCACGAGAGGCTGCGCTCGGGGGCGTGCCAGGGGACGCACGAGGGGACGTGCCGTGGACGTGCCAGGGACCTGCCACGAGACGTGCCGAAGGGCGCGCCAGGGGGGCGCCCGGGGGGGCGCCGTGCCCAGGGTCGCCCCGCCCGGGGGCGCGCACGGGGGCGGTCCAGGGGGCGCGGCAGGGGGCGCGCCAGCGGACTCGCCACCGAGCGGGCAGGGGAAGCGCCAGGCGACGAGCCAGGGAACGCGCCAGAGGACGAGCCAGTGGACGTGCCACGGGGCGCGCCACTGGACGCGCCAGGGGACGAGCCAGTGAACGCGCCAGGGGTCGTGGCAAGGGAAGCGCTTGGGGACACACCAGGGAACGCGCCAAGCGACGTGGCATGGGATGCGCCACGGAACGTGCGAGGGGGCGCGCCGCAAACGTGCCAAGGGACGGCCAGGTGGCGTGCCAGAGGACACGCCAGGGGACCTGCCACGGAACGCGCAAGGCCACGAGCCAGGGGAAGGCCCACCCTGTTGACGCTCTGAGGAGCCTCCTCGAGCTCTCCTGGCCAGTCTTTGGGAGGGGGGCCCAGCCTCAAGAGAAGAAGTCCTGGGCGACACAGAGGGCCCTGGGACCCCCATGGGTTGAAGGCTGCTGGGCTGGGTCCCCAAACCCGCTTGAGGAGATAATCGCCCCGCCGTGAATCGCAATGGCATAATCCCCAAGGGTTATGCGGTCTCTCTGTTTCCCAGTCCTTGGCAACTGGTCGTACCGCCAATCCTTTGGGTATGGCCTCCCGCCAATTTAACATGATCGGCCCACGAACCCGGAAAGAAATATAGAAATGTAAGGCATGGCAACGTTTTCAAAGACACCTGATTGGGTGACGGGCAAATGCAATGCTGAGTGTATCGATCTTGATGTACTCTGCCGAGGGCTGTGCTGTGCTGCGCCGTGCTGAATTGCGATGTGCCACGCCGCGATTGTCCTCTATAGCGTTGTGGATCGAGTCCTCCTTTGCATCCGAGTCCTGACCGAACTGATCTGGATCTTCAGCTCGAGCTGCCTGAATACATAGTAGCTGCCCCAAAGCTAATTGACAGGGGGACGTGCCAGGAGGACACGCCGCGGAACGTCTCAAGGGACGCGCCAGGCGACGTGCCAGGGGACGTGCCATGGGGACGCACCGCGGGACGTGCCAAGGGGACGCGCCACGGAACGTGCCAATGGACGTGCCACGGAACGTGCCAAGGGACGCGCCACGCGACGTGCCAGGGGGACTCGCCACGGGACGCGCCACGGAACTCGCCAGGGAACGTGCCAGGTTGCAATGCTGAATGTATCGATCTTGATGTACCGTGCCGACGACTGTGCTGTGCTGCGCCGTGCTGAATTGCGATGTGCCATGCCGAGAGTGTGCCCTATAGCGTTGTGGATCGAGTCCTCCTTTGTATCCGAGTCCTGACCGAACTGATCTCGATCTTAAGCTCGAGCTGCCTGAGCACATAGTAGCTGCCCCAGAGCTAATTGACAGGGGGGCATGCCAGGAGGACGCGCCGCGGAACGTCCCAAGGGACGCGCCAGGCGACGTGCCAGGGGACGTGCCATGGGGACGCACCGTGGGACGTTCCAAGGGGACGCGCCACGGAACGTGTTGGGGACAAGCGTTTCGCTCGAGACATCCTGCCCGAATCCTCATGCTACACATCCGCCTGGGCGACCAGTGGACACGAGAAACCAAGCGTCTCGCTCGAGACTTTCTCAACACCTCCTCATGCTGGATATCTGCGTGAGCGACCTGAACACGTGAAAATAAGTGGTTCGCTTCGAAAAAAATAAAAAAAAAAAAGAAAAAAGAAGAAAGAAAGAAAGTACACATAAATAAAACCAATAATAAATGAAAAAAATCCTCAACACATAATCATGTTGGACGTCTGCCTGGGTGACCTGGGCACGTAAAAACATGATCGACCCACGAACCCGGAAAGGAATATAGAAATGTAAGACTTGGCAACGTTTCAAAGACACTTGATTGGGCGACGGGCAAATGCAATGCTGAGTGTACCGATCTTGATGTACTCTGCCGAGGGCTGTGCTGTGCTGTGCCGTGCTGAATTGCGATGTGCCACGTGACGATTGTGCTCTATAGCGTTGTGGATCGAGTCCTCCTTTGCATCCGAGTCCTGACCGAACTGATCTCGATCTTAAGCTCGAGCTGCCTGAGCACATAGTAGCTGCCCAAGAGCTAATTCACGGGGGGGCATGCTAGGAGGACGCGCCGCCGAAAGTTCCAAGGGACGCGTCAGGCGACGTGCCAGGGGACGTGCCATGGGGACGCACCGCGGGAAGTGCCAAGGGGACGCGCTACGGAACGTGCCAATGGACGTGCCAAGGTACGCACCAAGCGAGGTGCCAGGGGACGTGCCACGGGGACGCACCGCAGGACGTGCCAAGGGGACGCGCTACGGAACGTGGCAATGGACGTGCCACGGGACGTGCCAGGGGACGCGCCGCGCGACGTGCCAGGGGGACTCGCCACAGGACACGCCACGGAACGTGCCAAAGAACTTGCCAAGTTGCAATGCTGAATGTATCGATCTTGATGTACCGTGCCGAAGGCAGTGCTGTGCTGCGCCGTGCTGAATTGCGATGTGCCACGTGACGAGTGTGCTCTATAGCGTTGTGGATCGAGTCCTCCTTTGCATCCGAGTCCTGACCGAACTGATCTGGATCTTAAGCTCGAGCTGCCTGAGCACATAGTAGCTGCCCCAGAGCTAATTCACGGGGGGCATGCTAGGAAGACGCGCCGCCGAAAGTTCCAAGGGACGCGCCAGGCGACGTGCCAGGGGACGTGCCATGGGGACGCACCGCGGGACGTGCCAAGGGGACGCGCTACGGAACGTGCCAATGGACGTGCCACGGGACGTGCCAGGGGACGCGCCGCGCGACGTGCAAGGGGGACTCGCCACAGGACACGCCAAGGAACGTGCCAAAGAACTTGCCAAGTTGCAATGCTGAATGCATCGATCTTGATGTACCGTGCCGAAGGCAGTGCTGTGCTGCGCCGTGCTGAATTGCGATGTGCCACGTGACGATTTTGCTCTATAGCGTTGTTGATCGAGTCCTCCTTTGCATCCGAGTCCTGACCGAACTGATCTCGATCTTAAGCTCGAGCTGCCTGAGCACATAGTAGCTGCCCAAGAGCTAATTCACGGGGGGGCATGCTAAGAAGACGCGCCGCCAAAAGTTCCGAGGGACGCGCCAGGCGACGTGCCAGGGAACGTGCCATGGGGACGCACCGCGGGACGTGCGAAGGGGACGCGCACCGGAACGTGCCAATGGACGTGCCACGGGACGTGCCAGGGGACGCGCCGCGCGACGTGCCAGGGGGACTCGCCACAGGACGCGCCACGGAACGTGCCAAAGAACTTGCGAGTTGCAATGCTGAGCGAGTGTATCGATCTTGATGTACCGTGCCGAGGGCTGTGCTGTGCTGCGCCGTGCTGAATTGCGATGTGCCACGTGACGATTGTGCTCTATAGCGTTGCGGATCGAGTCCTCCTTTGCATCCGAGTCCTGACCGAACTGATCTCGATCTTAAGCTCGAGCTGCCTGAGCACATAGTCCACGTAGTAGCTGCCCCAGAGCTAATTGACAAGAAAACATGCCAGGAAGACGCGCCGCGGAACGTTCCAAGGGACGCGCCAGGCGACGTGCCAGGGGACGTGCCACGGGGACGCACCGCGGGACGTGCCAAGGGGACGCGCTACAGAACGTGCTGGGGACAAGCGTCGTGTTGGTGGCCTGGACACGTAAAAACACGGTGCCAACTCGGGACAACCATGAGAGATACCCCCTGGGTGGCCTGGACACGTAAAAACACGTGGTTCCAGCTCGGGACAATCATGTTAGAGATCTCCCTGGGTGGCCTGAACATGAAAAAACACGTGGTTCCAGCTCGGGACAGCCATGTTAGATAC